TCTTCATTTTTTTACACTGATCTTCCACTTAACCAAACATGATGTCCTTCTCCAGGGACTGGTACCTCCTGATAATATGTCTGAAGTATGAGAGATGAAGTCTTGCCATCCTGATTTCTAAGGAACATCTGGCTGTACTTCTTCTAACACAGATTAGTTCATTTTTTTTGGCGGTCCATGGTACTTTTAATAATTATTCTCCAACACCAAAACTCAAATGCATCAATTCTTCTATGGTCTTTATTCATTGCCCAAATTTCCAAGCATATGAAATGAACGAAAATACCATGGCTTGAGTCAGGTGCACCTTACACCTCAAACTGACACCTTTGCTCTCCAACACTTTAAAGAAGTCTTGTGCAGCAGGTTTACTTAATGCAATATATCATTTCATTTCTTGACTGCTGCTTCCATGAGTGTTGATGGCTGATCCGAACAAAATGAAGTCTTTGACAACTTCAACCTTTTCTCCATTTATATGGATGTTGTTTATTGGTCCAATGGTAAGGATTTTTGTTTTCTTTACATTCAGGTACAACCCATACTGAAGACTGCAGTATTCAATCTTCATCAGTAAGTTATTTTAAGTCCTTTTGCTTTCAGCAAGCAAGATTATTATCATCTCCATATCTCAGGTTAATGAGTCTTCCTTCAATCCTGATGCCTGTTTGTCTTCATATAATCCAGCTTCTTAAATTATCTGCTCAGCATACAGCTTGAATAAGTATGGTGGAAGAATACAACCCTGGCATAACTTTTCTAATTTTAAACCACTCAGTGTTCCCTTGTTCTGTTTGAATAACTGCCTCTTGGTCTATGTACAGGTTCCTCATGAGCACAATTAAGTGTTACAGAATACTCATTCTCTGCACTGTTGTCCACAGCTTGTCATGATCCGCACAATCAAAAGTCTTTGTGTAGTCAATAAAGCACAGGTAAACAAACCTCTTTCTGGACTTCTCTATTTTCAGTCAAGACCCATCTGATGTCAGCAATGGTATCTCTTGTTCTACGTCCTTGTCTGAATCTGGCTTGAACAGTTTCCTGTCAATGTACTGTTGCAGCTATTTTTGAATTATCTCTAGCCAAATTTTACCTGCATGTAATATTAATGATATTGTCCGATGACTTCCGCATTCCACTAGGTCACCTCTCTTTGGAATGGGCACTAATGTGGATCTCTTCCAGTCAGTTGGTCAGGTAACTGTCTTCTGAATTTCTTGGCATAGATGAGCGAGTGCCTCTAGTGCATATTTGTTGAAAGAATTCAATTTGTATTCCCTCAATTCCCGGTGCTTTGTTCTTTGCCACGACCTTCAATGCACCTTGGACTTCTTCCTTCAGGATCACTGGCTCTTGAACATTGACCATTTCCTTTTGGTACAGTGACTCAGTATATTCCTTCCATCTTCTTTTGATTCTTTCTGCATCTTTCAATAATTTGACCAGAGAATCTTTCAATACTGCAAGTCAAGGCTTGAATTTTTTCTTCAGTTCCCTCAGCTTGAGAAATGCTGAGCATGTCTTCCCTTTTGGTTTTCTAACTCCAGATCTTTGCACATTTCATTAAGGTATTTTACTTTGTCTTTTCGAGCTGCACTTTGACATTTTCTATTCTGCTTTTTTATGTCATTTCTTTCATTTGTTTTATCATTTCTATGCTAAATACCAAGTTTCAGAGTCTCTTCTGACATTCATTTTGGTCTTTTCCTTCTTTCTTGACTTCTTAATGATCTGCTTTCATCCTGTATGACATTCTTGATGTCATCTCAAAACTTTCCTGGGCATCAGTATTCAGTGTCTAATTTATCAAATATTTTCTTGAGATGATCTCTATATTCAGGTTGTGTTCAAGGTCATATCTTGGCTCTTGTGAACTTGTTTTAATTTTCTTCAGCTTTAGTCTGATCTTGCACATGAATACTTGAAGGTCTCTTCCACAGTCTACTCCTGGCCTTGTTTTGACTGATGATATGGAGCTTTTCAACTATCTCTTTCCACTATGTAGTCAACTTGATTTCTGTGTATTCCATCTGGTGAGGCCCATGTGTATAATCATCTTTCATGTTGTTTAAAAAAGGTATTTGCAATGAAGAAGTGATTGGCTTTGTGAAATTCTACCATGCAATCTCCAGAATTGGTTCTATCACCAAGGCCATATTTTCTAATGACTAATCCTTCCTCATTCATTCCAACCTTTTTTCCATTTCAATCACCAGTAATTATATATACATCTTGATT